GCACGTAGGGCACACGTTGACAAGTATGACACAAACAATATTATATAAAACGGCAGCACTGTCACGTCCTTCTTATGTCCATTTTCAGCTGCTTTGCGAACTTCCTCTACGCGTTTCGCTTCACAATCCCTGTGCAACGCTTTTCGGTTTATTAGCTTCAAGATAGACGCATCCTTCGCGGTCGGGTGAATGTTATCATGTCATTTGGAAGGCCTTGCAAAATCGGAGACAAAAGACATTGTTTTAATTGAGTTCGTAGTTCTAAAGGAAAATAGTAATTACAGCAGCATTAAATAAAATGGAATAGTTGGAGTTTCGGCTAAGAAGTCTGGCGAGTTCAAACCTAGTTTTTCAACTGCTCAACGTTTCGTTTGTTGTTGGCAGTCTTCCTCGGGGGAAATTAATTCTATCGTCATTAAATTCCTCCTGAGGAAAGCTGCCACAATTTTCTGAGTATTTAATAACACAAACAAGTACAACAGTCATTATAAGTTCAGGGTTGCCAAACTCATGGGATATTGCCATAGAGGTAACTCTAAGACACGAAGGTCCAGAAGAAACGTGCTCAAATTGTTGGCTCAGCTCTGGTACTATCTTCGGTCCCAAGCAAATCGATGCACCCGTCGAAACATAAGAAAATCCTCGAAACCCTCACTTTTTTCTGTCAAACTTCCATAGCGAATCAAAACAAACTAGAATTTAAACTATAATGGGGTACGCTTATAGATGTACTTGGGACCAATAGGCTAGTCATGAAGTGAGCCAATCGTTAGTTGCCACCGGTTGATATTGCCGCCTTGATTGACAGATTTCGGTTCATTCGGCACAGCGTAGGCACAGCTATTGTTTTAAGACGCAACTGTCAAACTACACACTTAGTTTTTTTCTACCGAGCTCGGCTGTGCAAATCCCGGCAAAAAAAAGTTTCGCTGAGATCTCAGCAAAAGTGACATTTGATTGCTGAATCTCGGATAATGCTTTCCTGAATCTCACCAAACAAATGAAATGTTTGCTGAGATTTCAGTAAAACTTTCGTTGCCGAGATTTGCACAGCCGAGCTCGGTAGAAAAAAACTAAGTGTGTACCTTCTTTATCTCAAAAGTCATGGCAACTTGATGTCTTCAGCTTTAATTTATTTGAAATTATATTTTCTTCAACTTTGCTCGGAAAGCCTACTTTCTATCTATAGAAATAAAAAAGTTAGTTTTCACTTTTCAGAAGTACAGTATGTGCTTAAGTAAAACATATTCCAAAAGCGAGGAGGACGAAAGTTATCCATTCTACATTAAATTTAACGGATATCAATAAAGGGCGAACACGAAATTATTGCGACACCGAAAATGTCATGCCAATTTTCTTATAATGTTTAGAATCAAACCAAAATTTTAGGGTAGTTTTATACATATATTTACTTCAAAAATCAAAAGAAAAGTTAATCGATGGAGCCTTGAGTGTAAAATTGAACGCATTTTCGCTTGATGCCCTCCATCAAAGTCTTTACAGTGTCATCCGGTACCAGTTTCTCAGTTTTTTTTCCATTTTCTTAACATGTCCTTCTCGTCTTTGACTGTCTTCTTGCTCTTCCGAAGTTCCCGCTTCATTATTGCCCAGTACTGCTCCACGGGGCACAGCTCCAAACAGTTTGGCGGATTCATGTCCTTTGGAACAAAATGGACAGAATTGGCCTCATACCACTCCAGGACACTTTTAGAATAGTGGCATGATGCCAAATCTGGCCAAAATAGCGGAGCTTCGTCGTGCTGCTGCAAGAACGACAAAAGGCGCTTCTCGAGGCACTCAGATTTGTAGATCTCGCCATTTACTGTGCCCTTTGTCACGAAAGGCTCACTCCTCAGTCCGCAAGAGCAGATGGCCTGCCAAATGAGATATTTGGAGGCGAACTTCGACATTTTCTTCTTCTTAAATTTGTCGTCCACATCAAACTTGCTCTTGCCGGTGAAAAACTCGGTTTTCTTCCAGCTCCTTTGCCTTGGTCCAACGTCAACCGCTCCTGGAACCGCTTCAAGCCTCTGGAGACGGTTGAATGGTGAATGTTCAACATTTTTCCCAACTGCCGGTGCGACAGGTCAGGAAATTCCAGGTGTTTGGAAAGAATTTGTTCTCTCAACTCGCGTTGGTTCACCTCCATTTTCGTTGAATCGAAAAACACGACTTCGAGTTTGACAGCATGTACACAATACACATCAATGAGAAAGTGTGCAAAATTTGGTTGATTTTTACCCAATGGTAAAAAAGTTATGCCCTGTTGAATGTGTCGCAATAATTTCGTGTTCGCCCTTTAAAATTAGCTTCATAAATTCGATTTTTGTGGATTTCTTCGAGAGAAATTCGTCGGCTTATTATTGCTGGAAGTCGTGCTTATTACGGAATCCACAAGACCCTGAGGTCGGTTAAACTTCACCTCCGTACTAAATGTACCATGTACAAGACGCTGATAAGACCGGTAGTTCTCTACGAGCACGAGACGTGGACGATGCTTGAGGAGGACCTGCAAGCACTGGGTGTTTTCGAACGACGAGTGCTTAGGACCATCTTTGGCGGGGTATGTGAGAACGGTATATGGAGGCGAAGGATGAACCACGAGCTGGCGCAACTCTATGGCGAACCCTGTATCCAGAAAGTTGCGAAAGCTGGACGGGTACGATGGGCGGGACACGTTTTAAGAATGCCGGACAACAATTCCGCCAAAATGTTGTTTGTCTCGAATCCGGCCGGTACAAGACGAAGAGGAGCACAGCGAGCAAGGTGGTTAGACCAAGTGGAGCAGAAGTGTAGGACGGTCAAGAAATTGGAGACAAGCAGCCACGGATCGAGTGAATTGGCGTAACATTGTGATGCAGGTGCAATCCTGAGGGATGTCGGACCAGGATAAGTAAGTAAGGATTTCTTCGATTCGTAAAGAATAGTAACACGCGCTTGTCGATATCATCCGCTATTCATCGGTAATCTTGAATGAGTCAGAATTATCCAACCGTTCTCGTATTTAATTTTTAGTGTGTATTATGGTTTGACTGTCTGTCACTTTCATTGTCGCACCTCGGACCACTCATAGCTCATATTTTCAAAAAGTTGTGCGGAAATAACATTAACCCACCTAAATTCTACATTCACCCAACAATCTACAGCAAAATCACACTCCGAAGCTCTTCGTATGAAGCTCCCAACCAACGAATTTCTTTCATACGGTCTAAACCCCCATTCCTCACCGAATACTTCAGAAATCCAGAATTCAGCCGAAATTCGTTTGCCTTCGCAACCCCTTCCGCCTTCGACTTGGAACACCCCCAAACCGTGGCATTATCTTCGTCCTGATCTTTTGGGTTTCCATTATCTTGCATCCTTTTTTAATTGTTAAGTTCCTCTCTATTGGTCATGACGGCACTGTCGAGAAATCATCTCTTCTAGCAAATATTGACAGTTGCTTATGGGAATTTTCAGTGGAGTGAAATGATAGTACGACCATAGAGGTAACTCTAAGACTAGAAGGTTCTGAAATAACGTGCTCAACTTTTTGGCTCAGCTCTGGTACTCTCTTCGGTCCCAAGCTAATCGATTCACCCCTCGAAACAAAGGAAAAACCAATAACCCCTCATTTTACCTGTCAAACTTTCATAGCGAATCAAAACAAACATTGCGTAGTACTAGAATTTCGACTAGAATGGGGTACGTTAATCGTTTGCTTGCGACCAATAGGCTAGTCAAGTAGTGAGCCAATTTAAAATCGTTAGTTTCGTATTGATTGTTGGTACGACGGCCACCATGTTTCACGCACAGTCTGCCGTTTGCTTTCGTTTCTTCCCCCCTCTAATGTGATGTTAAACAGGGGAGGCAATGTGAATGTTTCTCCATCACTCCATCAACCATTCAAACAGTGGGAGAACGAAAGAGACGACAAAATCTCAATGTTTACATCGCATTGGATCGCGTCGATTAGAAATACTCAGAGGGAGAGATGGGCGGAGAAAACAAAATACAATCCGGCAGCAGGGATTTGTATCTAAATTATCTTGCAACCCTTGCTAAAACTTAGCATTTCACATGACTTTTACTTTTGATTCGATTTACGTGTAAATTAATAATTGATTGCATCGCAATATTTTGCTCAATGTTTGGTGCCATTAATTAACCAACTAAGATCAATTAATCAATAGAGCTAGAATATTGCTTTTGATTCCAAAAACTAGTTGAATTGGAGAAGCACACGAAACAAAAAAGGTGATTGAATTTCTGTTCGATTGCAATACTCTCAAATTTAATCTAGTAAGAATAAGAAATCCTCGGAAAAAATCTAATGGGAATGTTCGTTTGGCTCAGATTTTGACAGTTCATTTGGCTCAAAACATTCTCTCCGTTCATCTCTCCTTCTAGTATAGAGCACTGCACGCAAAATCTAACCTCAATTTTTGCCATGACAGTAAAAGAGATAGCAACGAACGGGAGCCAAAATAAACCCGGCAGAACTGTCAAAACTCGCTGGTGAGGAAAAGGGACGGGGAGATTTAGGTTAGGTATCGCGCAGAGTTCTATTTCTAGTGTCGATACGCTTCTTCGCAGCGTCCTCAAATACCGTAATCTGTCATGAGATAGTTAGAGATGTGACCCGATATTATAGGGATGTGATCGATAAAAAAGAGAGAGATTGTATTGCGAAATTTTTCTTCATTTAGATTCGACCGATATCAATTTCGTCGTTACGATATTTCGCTATCGATTTCGCTCTCACTTCTTTCACCTTTCTACGTACATCTTGAACATTGTTGACAGAATGGAAATCGAGTGAAAAAAAAAATGAAAAAAAGTTTGTTGTTGTTTGTTTTTCGTGAAATTTTGAAGCCGCTCGAAAAGTTAACTTTTAAGTGATTTATTTTAAACTGTTTTAACTGCTTTACAACAAAATTGGTAAGATTGGTGATTTGCAAATTAAAATTCAACCGATGTAATAATATCATCTTTGTAGGAACCTTCTGCAAAAGGAACGAATGGCTTCCAGAAGGGCATCCCGTAACGATGATGGTGAGGATGTAGACAAGCAGGATGGCAATGAGAACGAAGACCCGATGGCGGATCAACTCGATGACCCGTTATTCGAAGACGTTCAGGTTCTCGACTATGACTGGAGCGACCCCGACAGTGATCCAAGCCATGAGCAGCCTGATGCACCTGAGCACGTAACTCAGCCGAAAGGAAACAAATCTCCAGCGCAGTTCAACTGTCGACTGCTGGTGTTTAAAGGTCAGTCCTCCGGAGCTCATATTGCGCACTGGAATGTAGATGGAAAGTCGCTCAATGACTTTAAGACGAAATTATGGGAGCTATGCAGACCACATCTACTTCGAGAAGTAATTTTTAATCAGCAAGACGATGGAAGCACGGTGCCAGCATGGATGGATAAGGATTCTCCGGAAGAAGAAGATTTGGTGAGGTTTGCCATTTTTTACGAGAAGCAAAATCGTAAGTACACTTCGCTGGACAAACTGACCACCACGTTGCTTCAGAACTGGAAAGGAAAAGAAATTCAGCTGCTGTTGCATGTTTATTCACTGTCCGTAAGTTCCCGTAAGATTTTCAATTCAGTGAAGCAACATTTGATTGACCCATCTGAGCGCGATAAGGCAGGAGCAGCCTCAACCCAAGTGGTCGTCGATTTATCTAAGGATTTGCGTCAACCACATGGTCATCTTTGGGATGGACACGAAATGGCATGGACAATGTGGGCATCAGCCATACTTGCTTCGCCAGCTCATACGCGTGAGAACATGATTAATTCAGTTCCTCCAAAGCATCTGCAACATCTTTTCAGAACACAGGACGGTCCGAAAATTGAAAGTGTGAAGCGTGGGTTGGCTGTAGCTCACAATGTAAATGCGTCGTTTTGTGAAGAGATCACAGCGCTGAAGGAAGCGTTTTCCTCACTTGAAGTGGTAGCCAAGAATATGCAGCTACAACTTTCATTCGTGAAGCATCGCATCGAAGCATTGGAGCAGCGTGGACGCATGAGTGATTCATTCATAAGTGCGATGGAAACTTCAATGGAAGTTTCCGAAGGAGAGTTCAGTCGACATATTGCTGGACAGGTAGTTGACATGGAGGATGTAGACCACGAATAAGCCAACTTGCAAATGAGTTGAGATAACTTGTTTTAATGAATAAAGAAAAATACATTGTTTTACTATATTTTCTATTTTATTGGTTTTCAAATACGAAAGATCAAAGAAATTAGAACTTTTCTGCATTGATTATGTTTCATTTGTCTGTTTCAATATTCTTGAAATCAGACACATCTGCAACCGAAGGATCAAATTTTCCTCCTCTCAGGTAACCACACTTCCTGAATAAGTTAGACATGTTATAATTTCTAAAGGTAGCCATCACTTCAGCTACTACTGGTTTAATTCCTTTCTTTACACATTCCTGATAGATAGCTTGAGTTTGTCGCTTGCATAATCCGAAAACGACTTCAATAGGGTTATAGAAGGGGCAATACGCAGGTAGAAAGATAGGGAATATTCCAATTGATCGAAGATATTCTATGATTTTCGCACTGCAGTGAATTTTCGCTCCATCCAATATCCATATGGAATGTCTACCCGGATAGCACTGAACATGGCCCGTTTCCAGAGCAAATCGTCGGCAGCATTCAAAAAAGTTTAGTCGGTTGAATTTTCCGTTGGTAGAGAAGGCTTCAAGCATTCCGTTTTGCCCAATGAAACAAAGCAAGGATTCCCTAGGCTTCCGCACAAATTCTCCTCGAAACACTAAGCGGTGGCCTCGAACTCCGTAGCCCCTGGAGCGTAACATGGATCTGTTATCGAAACTAACCTCGTCTAAAAAGACGAGGTTGTGGTAGTCCCACTGAATGCACGAAATTTCGTTGAAAAAACGGATTACATCACTTTCCTTGATTTGAATTGCACGACGTTACAAACATTTCCAGGTCAAACCAGCGTTATGTATGATGCGCCAAATGGATGAAATAGATATTGTCGTCTTGAACTCCTGCTGGAGCCGCTTTCTAGATTCATGTAGATAAAGCGTAGGATTTTGTAGATACAGGTTTATCAACCATTGTCGTTTTTCGGGAGAGAATTTCACAGCATCCCTTTCGTAACTTCGGCGAGAATAGAATCCGTCCTCCTCGTATCGCATGATCCAATTTGTGATTGTGGACTTGTGTTTGTGATAAATTGTTGCTAGCCTCGATTTGGACAATCCAAGGAAATAATATCCATATAAAACATGATATATGGTATTCACTGACGCTCTCTGATCTTTCACAACGGAAATAATAGATGCCATTTTACGCAATAGTATTTATGAAATAGTTACGTTTTTAGTTGAACATCGATGTTAACTGACGTTTCTTTTATTTACAAAATTTAAATGATCAAGACACATGACGTAATTAGGGAAAGGTGGTAGCTTTTGACATTTGAACCATCTACGAGCTCCCTCAATTTCGTCTCTATAGTCTAAATATTCTTGAAAGACACAATATCTGATAAAGTGGATTTATTCAGATATGAATCAATTCACGAAAATAAAGATTATTTTTTCAAAAAACTTAAATCCCAAAGGCTTGGTAGCCATCATAATGAAGTAATGAAATTAATTAGGTTGTTAGCGGAATGCTTAAATAAAACAGCAAAAAAAGGTTATCTTCCATTTAATTCCACTTAATTAATTTTGGTATCCATGACAGATACGTATTTCGACTACAATGTGCAATCTGCATCTTTCGCCTTTTGTTTAATTAAATATTTGGTTTTTATTAGCTAGGTAGGTTCCGATTCAACACATTGTAGTTTCATTTTTATACCTGTGATCTTGACTTTTATACCTAGGGGATGAGTAGTTAAGGGGGTTAGATTTTGATAAGTTCTTTAGTGGGAATGACACTGATGAAGACTGCACATTGTAGTCGAAATACGTATCTGCATTCAACGAAGTGTTTTCTTAAGAAAATCAAGTGAAATTAGCGTTTCAGTTTGGGTTGCCGAAAATAGTATGTCATGCCGAAGCCGTCATTTCCCCTACCAAATGTTTCTGCAAATATCTGCAAAATTTTAAACAAAGATTAATTTTGAAATTTGTAGTAAAATCTAGTTTACTCAAAAGCAACAGTTCTTGGTTGGTGCATTTGCAGCAGAAAAAAAAACCTTGCAATGAAAATAACGAACCATTTTTTTCCGCTCTTCACCGAAATTACACAGTCCTGTATAATTTATCTGGGTGCAATACTCTTCTCCGCGACGACACAGCAAATCATACGCGATTACCATAAAAATAGACTCCAAACCATCATCACAGACCCTTGCATTCCGCCTATGCGGTCGATCAGGTCTCCAGTTGCACAAACCACGATCCGCTCGCTCATCTAATGAGCAGCTAATCGGAGCCATAAACGACCGCACTCCAAACAAACCTCGAAGCCGTGCAGAGACTCTCCAACCATCCAACGACTGACTCCCCGTTTGTGTGTGTGAACCGATCTTTGCAACACAGCAAAACGTTTGTTTTTCTGCAACAGCTTAATGATGCGACTTGACTCCAATCAGCTGTTGCGCTCTGTGGAGAGAAGCTGCACATTTTCCGAGAGAAAAGTCACGTTGCGCAACAGTCATCGTCGATCCAGCTGACGCTGCTGAAGATCGTTCTCCAAGTCAGTTGCCGGTTACGAGTCGCAGTGAGCGTTGTGCTTTTTTGTTTCCCCCTCATGCGGGTGTTTTGTTTGATTGACCAAAAGTGACGCCGCGGTCGGTCTCTTAACAACTCCCCTTCGCTTCCGTCAAGGGTCACTTGATTGTGGTTTGGTGATCGTTTGTCTCGGTTGGAATGCGGTGAAATTGAAACCTCGTGCGGCCACTTATCCAGTCTCAGTCGTTGATGAAGGAGCAGGAGACGTGTCCCCCCCGGTTGTGAAGATTGTGCAAAGTTCTGAAGTGCTGATGCTGTAGAAAGTGTTATGTTATCTATTTTTGCCTTTCCGTAGAAAAAAAAAGAAACACGGAAAAAGAAGAGATTCCATCGTGGTCGTGTCGTCGTCGTTGGTGCATACTAATGACAGCAGTAGAAAGATATTTTTTGCTGCTTTGTGTGTTTTTCAAAGGTATTGAGATGTCATTCTGGCGTCACAGATGAAAACGGGGGAAAGTGTGAAAAAAGTACAGTGAAAATTCATCAGCTGCTTTTTTTTTTTGAAGGAGTTTAGTTTGAAGAGAAGTTGCTGAGTGCTCGTTGGGAGGCAATTGTTTTGATGCTCTCTTCTGTTTAAGAGAAAACTAGTGCACGCCGCCAAAGTAGGTTGGGAAGATGCTACTGCACCGGGTGTAACGGCAAGAGGGGCAGAGGCGGAAGAGACGGAATCAGAAGACAAGTCAGAAGGTATGAGCTGCTATCGTGTTGCAGTGAAAGCGTGAAACCAGAAGATCGATCGACCTGATCTGGCTTGAAGAGATCGTTAGCAGCAGTAGCAGTAGAAAGCCACGCAGCTTATAGGGGCGTGGAAGAGAAGGTGCCGGTGCGTTGCTTGGAAGAACTGTCGCGGAACCGGTTCGGAAGGGAACTGGGTGGTGTCACCGGGCTCGCCTGACGATAGTTTTAGTAGTGCATCTAGCCAATGCAGTGTGATTCAAGCTCGTTTTCTGTGTTGTGATTGCGAGAGAAGGTTAAAGTCCGATAAATAGTGTGTTATGAGCTGGCAATCGGTTGGGATTCATCGACCGGTCGAAAGTGTGGAAGAGGCCGGGTAGCGGATCAGCTGTTTGTGTATGCTGCCCTGTTTTGAGATGAGACATGAGGATTGAATGTGACATTGACTCGAAAGAACTGGAAAGGAGAATCTTAACAGCATGGGTCAAGCGGAGAGTACCGGTAAATAGTTTGCTTTTAGTTATTAATCTTATCACAAGCTTTTACCGCCGTGTTGGAACAAAGTTATACACCTTATATAACACTACAGCTCATGTTCAATCAGCAGTGGATATCAGTAGAATTTTATTTATGACCGTTGAATCATCACGGGGTATTTTTATGTAGCATAATAATCGATAGTAAGGAGATGTATGGAACTGGAAATTTCAGGAAATTGTAATATTAGGTATGTGACAAACATCCTCTATAAGTCTGGTCCACATTTACATGGGGGTTATTTTTATCATTTTTTCAACGGGCCAACCCATAGATTTGTGCCATTAGGTGTGAAAACCACTCTTTGAAAATTTCAGCTCATTCTGATGTAACACGAGCTGGCACTTTTAATTTGAAATTTATATGGAGATATTGGTTGAAATGTATGGAGAAATAACATTCCTACACTCTTTCGTGCATATTTTATAATGTTTTTTTAAGGTTCTAATATTATCAAAAATATTTATTCTCAATCGAAGTCTCCGAATATTAGGATTTTTAGTTAATCCTCGATCTTGAATTTCCTAGGATTTAACCTCAGAATTCTTCTCAGAATGCCCTTAAGAGGATCTATCTTGGAACTCTATAGAAACTTTCCTTAATATTCCCTTGGAAATTTCTACAGAATTTCTTAAGCACTTTAATCATAGTTTCATTAAAAGTATGCTCAAAATTTCTTGTCAAACTCTCTGGGAAATTCATTGAAACTATCTTCAAGCTAGCTATTTTAAGAATTAGATTTACATGGAATAAGTATCCCTTTTTCCATTCCGCTCTCCTCAAAATTTCTCGTTGATTAATCGATTGATCAACATTTAAGAGAATTGTTAATCACTAGGCGTAGTTTAAGGATTGTAGTCATGTCTTACTTAGAAGGATACTGGCTCCAAATTCCCTTAGAATGCTCCCGGAAATTCTTTTCAATTTGCTTTCGAGTTTCCTGAAATTAGAACCATAATAGTCTCTTGAGAACTACCTCAAAACTAATCTTTACTTTTTCTTAGAAATTTCATGAGATACTTCTCAAAATGACCTGAATTATTCGTTAAATTCCATTGGAATTTTCAAGAGTTTCTTTAGAACTATCCCTAGATTTCCTCTACAACTATCCTCAAAAAATTCATTTGGTATTCTCATCATAATTCTCTAGCCAATGCTGTCAAAATTCAAAAATGTTATCCAAATTCAAGAGCCATGATTTTTATTTTAATCTGAAGTCTTAAAATACGCAATATTTTTAGTTAGTTTCACTAAGTTCAAGAATGTGAAAAACTGACCTAGCATTATAATCTTAATAATGTTGTCATGCAATCTTCGCACAAAATTTTAGTCCGAGAGTGATCTTCTTTTTTTAAATCAAGTTCGTTTATTTGGAAGGCTCAATCGCGTTAGCTTTACGGAGCCGATAATGCATTGTTCTTTGTTTGTAACAAAATTAACTTAATTCTATGTTTAGTAGGAGTTGAGCCGAATACTCGCGGCTTACCCGTGGTTAGGGGGGTAAATTGTCGAATAATAGGGTCAGGGGAAGAGATTTGGTGTGGAGTTTCGTTTGTCTCATCAGAGCGTTGTCGCCAGTGTGAACGGTAGTACGGTTCTAGATTCGTCTGGAGGAGTGGTCTCCTTGTTTTCTTAAAGAATTTCCAAGCTCAATCTATTCATTTGGCTTAGATACTTAACTTAGATACATTTGAAAGTTCTAAGACTTTTGAGAATATTTCAAATTTTGGACTTCAAAATTAATTTCGATACAATTAACTAAATTATGGAGCATAATTTAACAATTTGTTGCGATCCTGGAATCTAACAAATTTCCGAAATTAAAGTATTAAATAAAATTAACAATGTTATTTTAATATTTTGATTTCCTCTGGAAGACCTATTCAACCAAGGGGTAAGTCGCTCAGCACAGTGTACCGAAAGCAGATTCGGCATAGCTTGGGCACATCCACCGGCACACCTTCGGCTCAATCGCGTAGGCATTGGATTGTTCATTGAATAAAATAGAAGCACTGCTGGACAGCTGTCATTGAAGTTGTTCACAACATTACGTGCTGTTTGACTGTGTATTTCAGAAACATACGTCTACCGTCTGATGGTGATAACCTAGGAGTCCACCTTGGAGCACATGTTGTACACGATTGGGACGCTGATGTCCACCGTGTCGAAGCTCTTGTCCTTGATGAAGGCTCGCCACGATTCACAGAATTCACTCGGGAAGTTTTTCTTGGAGAAGACTCCCAAAGTTTTGCCATCTTCGGATCCCTTAATCGCCTCCAGCAGCTTTTTCAAAATTGGCCTTGTCTTTGTCGTTCTTATCCCGAACCAACAGCTTCACCGACGGAATGCCCTTCTTATCGTCCGTCTGGATCTGCTTCAGGTAGTCGATCTTCTTCTTGCTGGTCAGGAAAAAGATTGACTTTTCGCACAGCACCGTAATCGGATCGGTCAGCTCGTATCCCAGCAGCCAGGTCTGCAGCGAGGTTGATTTGCTGTAGATGGTTTCCTCGCCTACACCGACCGCCGTCAGAATGCAATCCACCTACCTTCTGCAGCGAATCATCATGGGAAAACTCCTGGTTCCTTCCAGTTGGCGTAGAGGGGTTTTATTCGTCGGTAGAAGGAATCCTTATCGAGCACGATATTGCAAACCTAAACATTCAAGGTGTCAGAAATACCGGGTTGCCAAACATGCCATAATATTCGTATATTTTTTAGAAAATCGCAGCCTGCTCTATGCCCGGCACTGCCGGTACACCGGTGGCACACCAGCGGCACACTAAGAAAAATGTTGACCCAATATTGGTGAGCGGAGTGACCTACGCCTTGTGTTCAACCCAAGTAACAATTTTGGTTTTATGAGGGTTCTGTAGACCATGAATTAGACTTGTAGCATACTTTAAAATCTCGATAAAACTTACAATGTTACTTGGGAATTTCCCGGTGTGGAAGTCAACTTGTTCCAGATGTTAAATCCAACTACTCCAAGAAGTGTCATGCGACTTCTCCAGAATTTTTCCCAATTTCCCTGATTTCTGCTAACTTTCTTGAGGAGTTTCTTCTACGTACCTCCGGAAGTTTCCTCTGATTTCCTTTGAAAGATTCTTTAGACATCCGTCGGAAGTTTTTTTTAGCTTTCTTGGAACGGTTCTTCTAACTTATCCTGATAGTTTATGTTCTATATTTACCTAAGATAATCTTAGGGCCACTGCTGGCAATTTATTCGAGTTTTCTTGGAATGTCCAACCCCACCTATTTCCATCTTTCCGCGTATACTTGTTCCAGGTTTATTAGGATACTTTTAACGACTTCTACCGGAAGAAGATCCTGCAGCTTCTCCTAGAAGTTAATTCCGGTTTTTCTAGACTTGATGTGGAAGTTTCTTCATTGGTCAATTCTCTTTCCGAGCTCCTCCATAGATCCTGCTGACACGTCCCGAAAATGTCTGCCGACTTCTTCTGGAAGTTAGTCTCATTTTTTTTCTGAAAGCTTCTTCCGACTTGCCTCGGAGATTTCTTCGTGTCGGGAGTCTGTCAGCTTCCACTGGAAGTTTTTCCTGACTGCTCTGGAAGCTCTTTCCAACCTCTCCAAAAAGTTTCCATCAACATCAATTCGAACTTTCTTTTGATTTTTTGCTAGTTCTTCACAGAGTTAATTTCACGGGAATATTATATTTAGATATTTTTTCTGGAAACGATGTATATTTGGCATTCTTTTTTCACTGTTTGTTCTCTAGATCGAAATAGTTTCCATAGAATTTTGTGAAATTAGTGGAAATTGATTCCCAGGATTGCACTAGTACTTCAATCAAAATTAGTTTTTTGACGTAGAACTACGTCTTTGTCGACTAAACTGGGGTGCAAATAAAAAAATATGTGTGGTGAAGGAGTGTTAGGTTTTGAACGCTTGTAACTTTGTCATTTATAGATGAAATTTAAATCCAAATACGCCAATCGATAGGATATTACATTACGAATCTGCTGAAACAAATATTTTTCCAATTTTTCTGTAATTACCTTTTTGAAAATGTACAAATGATAATTTTATAACTGTTTTCATGAAATAAGCCTTTTTCCCAAACCCAGTCATCATAAACGAATACCACTTGGTTGCACATCGTTCTGCTTGAACCTGAAAAGATATAAAACAGCGCTGCTGTCGTGCTTTTGTTCATTGTCGCTTCGGACGGCGTGGCACTTGGTCCTGCAGCAAGCAGGACCAAGTCAGCGGCTAAAGGTGGATCACGGCGTGACCACAATGAGGAATGCGATACAATGAGGAATGAGGAATGCGATACAATGAGGAATGAGGAAAAGCAATGTATGTAAACCCCCTCCCCCTTTCACAACAACCTCTTCACACCTCAACAACCTCTCCCCCTCTCTCCTTAACATAACCCGTAAAAGACATGGACTTTGACGATCACTTTTTTTCCGGGAAAAAAATGTTATACAAACCACAATTATTAGTAAAAACAGAAGTTTTTCCCTTAAATTCTTCCCACACCAAAACTTTCAAATTTGAGAAAAAAAAAATGCTTGAAAGACATATTCGATGAATTACACACAACTGACGGTAAAACACAAAAGAAACGTTCTGCCCCGCCCCCATTCATAATAAAATGGCGGAAAATCCTGTCAATTGCAGGGCTTAGAAAGTAAGTTTTGTGCCGAATATGTAAAAAAGGAGGGACATCGAATGAATTTTTTTCTGCAAAATATTTAAAAAAGGAGGGACGTCGGATGTTAACCTAAATGCATATATCATGCATCATAGATAGAGATAGATAGATAGGTTCTGCGTCATACTGCGGTCGTGTCTAGGACACAACACTTTAATTTTTTTTTCAATTAAGTCACGAGGAAGGATCGGGGAGGGGGGAGTGGTCAGTCAAAAATCCTGTCTATGCCACTGATTCATATTAATAAATAAAGAGATTAACGAATCTTGGGTGTGAAGGGGCT